TCAGTCAGCTGATCAAACATCACATGCCAAACGAACATTCATCACTAGACTTATGTTCACCTCTTTTGCTCACTTCGAAGCAAAGGTTGTGATTCGGTCAGCTGATCGAACATCACATGCCAGACGAACATTCATCACCAGACTTCTGTTCACCTCTTTTGCTCACTTCGAAACAAAAGTTGTGACTCGGTCAGCTAATCGAACATCACATGCCAAACGAACATTACTCATAAGACTTCTGTTCACCTCTTTTGCTCACTTCGAAGCAAAGGTTGCGACTCGGTCAGCTGATCGAGCATCACATGCTAAACGAATATTCATCACCAGACTTCTGTTCACCTCTTTTGCTCACTTCGAAGCAAAGGTTGTGACTCGGTCAGCTGATCGAACATCCCATGCCAAACAAACATTACTCATAAGACTTCTGTTCACCTCATTTGCTCACTTCGAAGCGAAGGTTGTGCCTCGGTCAGCTGATCGAACATCACGTGCCAAACAAACATTACTCATAAGACTTCTGTTCACGTCTTTTGCTCACTTCGAAGCAAAGGTTGCGACTCAGTCAGCTGATCGAACATCACATGCCAAACGAACATTCATCACCAGACTTTTGTTCACCTCTTTTGCTCACTTCGAAGGAAAGGTTGTGACTTGGTCAGCTAATCGAACATCACATGCCAAATGATGCTTAATAAATACATGTTGCTTCAACCATCTATTCATCAATCATAGCTATCTAAAAGCAAAATTTTCTCCACGAACACTTTAGTGTGTCTAAGGTAACAAGCGAATGACATTGATCAGTAGTATGTTGTTTGTTCATTTTCATCAAATTGAAACAAATATTGGACGATCTATAGCTAATCCATCATCATATATCAAATGAATAATCCTAACGAAACCTCTGCTCACTTATTTCATTTATTTGATGCCAAAATAGTTGCATTGATGATAGCTCATCCACTATAACACGACTTATGAATAGTAATAACGCTTGAAGTAATTCGAATGATTCTATTCATCTATGTTTCCATCTCATTTTGAAACTTGAATCGAACCTTGTGAATCGAGTTGTGGATCGACGATCATATAAAAAATGAATGATTTGTATATTCAGAGTTCCATTCAAATATTTTTCTTCATCCATACGAAAGATAATGAACTGTTAAGTACATAAAAGGCACATGCCAAATGAATCATTCGCACCATCGTTTTCTCTATCTATCTTTCGCATTATGAAATGAATATCAAGTCTTGCTGACATTGATCAATGATCGTGGGACGAGTGAATATGCATTATTGAGATTTTGTTCATTTATGTTTTTCAATTTCAACAAAAACATCCAAGTTACGTGTGATCGAAAAAGATCTTATGGCATATAAACTATCATTCGCCAAAAGATTTGTTCAACTATCTTTACAAATATCCAAATAAATTATGAAAATTAATGCGCTAATCGAAGATAATAAGATTTATGGATAAATACAACGTTTGAGATGAATCTATTCATCTATTTTGTCAATTCACTTTGAATGAAAATGTACGAGACTATCGACTGATCAAGAGATTACATAGAAGAGGAATTATCATGATCATGGTCTCTCCAATACTCATGTTCATTGATACTGTGTGCATTAAAACAAACACTTCAAGAATAAGCTACTTTGAAAGATAATAAGGTGCAGGACTGATCATAATTCTTGTTATGGTCTTGTTTATTCATGACACTCACTTTGTTTATCATAATGCGAGCTCACAAATTAATAAAAGCTCACAGAAAAAAGGAATTATTCTAACCCTGGATGATCTGTTCTCTTATATTACTTGATACGATATAAAGTTTTCGATTGATGAAGGTATGCGACGATCGTACCACAAACAAATCATCATGATCGATTTCCAGCTTTTTGGATGATTTTGTTCATCTGTTTTACGTATATGAAAGGAAGAATTCAAGAAAGATAAACTTATCGAGAATCATCTGTTAAATAGATGATTATCATCGCCCGTAGATTTTGTTGATCTATTTTCTGTTGCAATATAGTGACTATTTCGATTCGATTGCACATCGATGCTTGCATGTCAAATGAATGATTTCAATAGTACCAACAGTTGTATTCATCTATTCCATTCACTTCAAAGCACTATGACTCAGCTGTTAAGCATAAAGAAGATGAACTATCAAAGGAATCAATTAAATCAATGTTCTGTTCGTTTATAATGGTTTCACTTCAAATTTAAGATCCACAGTTTGTCTATAAATTCCAGATCCTGTGAAAAATGAATGATCATCACGGCATTTCCCGCAATTGGCACAAATGTTCCATTCAAAAAACATGTTCACTAAGGATGAACTCGTTCAAGTCGACCTAATGATTGAAATTATTTGACTATCGAATAATCTTTAGGACGATGATGTTCGTTTATATTGATTTTCTCAGAGTAAATTCAAAAGTTCTTCAATGGAGTAGAGGTCACATAAGAAATGACTGAATAATACGACCTTTAACCTCTTGTTCACTTATTTTACTTCTTGCAAATGAAACCTTTGTTATAGTCAAGTGTTGAGAAAAATTATAAAATAGACGAATGCTAATAACAATCGCTTTGTTCATCTACTTATCTCTGTTTGGAGTCAATGATTCAAAAT